GTTCGTTATTATTGCAGCTCTGTCAAGGAACCTGAAGCGATTAGTGTGAGAGAGCTTCAAGATCATATGTGGCTGATCAGATGCATTGTTTAGTGGAGGATCATAAAATGAGTGCTCGGAAGCCAGTGCAACCCTAACTCTTGATTTTCGACAGGCAGCCGTGATGACCTTGGCTATGTCCGAAAAAATGCTCCCTTGAGGCTTCAAGTAAATGTAAGTGTGGCGGCCGAACAAGAAAATGGTGATAGAGGAAGCAAGGCAGGCAGTGGGAATGGCAAACCCTATGACCCAACTGATATTGGTCTGGATGTACACAACTCCAGTGAGGGCCACAACTAGGGCAACTGAAAGAGAAATACCACCAATTGAAGAAGCTTTCTAGTTGCGCCCTTCCTTTCGCTGTTCTGGTGTCAAATTGATCAGCACCAAAGGCAATGTTGCAGGGCCTGATGAACCCTGCTCCTACGGAGAGCAGTCCAAGAGCAATGTAGAGGAAGACCAGCTGCCAAGTGTGGGGCTGAGGGCAATGGTCTGGCTCTTTGCAGGTGGAGGGTCTTAAGCTATCTATAGATGCAGTAAGGGTTATGGCTCCCATACCCTGAAATAAAATGAAAAAGTGTGAAGAAAAATTTGCAACCTCACGTACAAAGTCACCATTTTCCTGGATTCAGTGTTGAATAAAATAGAAATGGGACACACTAAACAGATGATAAGCCATGTATAAACACCGGTTTGGTGCTAATTTGTTGTCTGTTTAGTGTCTTTCTAGTTCTATTTTTGTTCTAAGCATATAGAATATCAGTTAACTATTTCACTTCAACGTGGAATATCAGTTAAATATTTCACTTCAACGTGAGTTTTGTACGACTGAAATTCCAAATAATGGGTTAAATTGATTAATCAAGAGTGAGAACTTCTAATTAGAAGAGAGACATATAAATCGTAATTATTACCAGGAAAGATGATATGGATCCAAGGAGAAGAGCACGAAATCTGCCCAGATAAGCATCAGACAAAAAGGCACCTGCTAGTGTTACAGCATTGGATGTACCATTCCATATATTAATCACATTTACAACAAATATTCCACTTAAGTTGTATCTTGTACTCAAGTACACTGTGATGTTGGCTATCAAACTCATCGAAGCCAGCTTCTCGAACGATTCATTCCCTTCATATAAATCAACAAACGAAACAAAATTAACGAAAAGGCAAGCCAAAACCCCATCATAAATCACATGAAAAAAAATTGAATACAAGATAATATGATATTGTGTACCAAGAATGTATTTGATAGCTCTCCATCCTCCTTTTCTAGGGTTTGGAGGAAGCGCTTGCTCTAATGGTGAAGAATCATTCGCATTCTCCATCTCTTTCTTTCTCTTTCTCTCTCTCTTCCTCTCTATGTTTTCCGCACTTGCTGGTCACCAACCTCTCTTAAACCACATTGCGTCCCTTTGTTTTAGAGTGGTGTTATTCTCAGCCCAATGTCATCTTCCCACCCACCTTTTAATGAAATTTTTAATTACAAATTTGTCCGTTGGCAAAAAGACTAATAAGGACATTAATTATCTTGTTTTGCTTAATTTAAAAAAAAAGAAAAAAGAAAAAGGTTGGGCGTGGGAGACAACCTTAAACCCTAACTCATATTTTCATCTCCTTTTATTTAGAGAAAGTAAAAAAATATCAATGGACTTATAAGATGACTTTTTCATTGAACAGGTGAAAGATGACGCTTCTACATAAGAGATAAAAGATTATGTTTCCATTGAAAATGTAGAAGAATAATTTGTGTGTAGGTCATTTGAATTTGTCCATCGTTTTTTAAATTTGTCGTTGTCGAATTCTTTTGAATTTGGATACCTCTATTGTTTTCATTTGAATTTGCAGACCTTAGTTTTTTATTTATATATTATTTGTTATATTTTTTAAGAGACAATTTTATAATTTCATATGTATGTATATATTAAAGGTTATTTTGGGAATAATAGTGGGTAGGGAAATAGCATTTTAATTTTTTTAACTTTTTAAGGTGGGTGGGAAAATAGGACAATGGGGTGAGTCTAGTAGCTTTATTGTTTTATTATATACTAGCATATGGGCACACAAAGTGTGTGAGAAATTTTTTTATTTTTGTTTTTGATATAGAAGGAGAGAAGGAGAGAGGAAGAGAGTGATAGAAAATGTGGGAGTGGGAAATGTTTTTTATTTATTTATTTATTTAATTAGAGATATGTTAGAATTATATGTAGGTGAGGTTTTGAAAAAAAAAACAGCAAAATTTGGTTGTATGAAATTACAATTCTGCCCCATATTTTTTATTCATTTTTTGTTTTAATTTGAGGGTTAAACTGGTAATTTTATAAGGTTTTGGTTGACTATAAGTGTTTTATTAATTAGTAGAGATAAGAGCTTAATTTATCCTTTTTTTTTGGTCGAATAGTTTATCTTAATTAGTTAGTGTAATCAAAATTAGGATAGATAATTATCACAGATTTGATTCTTCCGGCTTACCCGGATAATTATCTAAGGTACGAAATCGGAAACGGTTAGAGGTAATTAAGTAAAAATCTTGAAAGTTTAGTCTTCAAGTGTTGACATAGTTATGATTGGTGAGTGAAATGTGAAGCAGCTTGTTATGGGTGTGATGGCTTGTGAGTTTTGACCACTGACTTGGATTCTAAGTTTACCTGCACTACGTACCTCAACAAACTTCAGTACAAACTACAAACAAAATATTTCTTCTTATCCCAAGCCTTGAGTTTCTCCGATCCCAATCTTTTACTGTATATTCAAAACCAAACTTATGTGTTGCCTAACAAGAACTTATCTGATCACTTTGGTTGTAAATTAGGCTTTTAGTTGATTGTTTACAGAATTTATTGAAAAATAAATAATAATAAATGTTTAATACAAAGTTCTGTGTTTGTTAACATTGTACTAGTCTCTTGGCATGCCTGTACTAATTTTTTTTCTTAATTATTTTTCTTATACTTGATACTTGTTTTTTTCTTAGATGTTAATTTTTTTCTAGAGTATACATCTACACGGGAGTATTTTTTTTTTTACCATTTTAATTAATTGGCTCATTTGCAAATAATGTCTTGCTACAATGGCAGAAAACAATGTTATCTATGCACCATGGTACGGGTTCGATCCTACCGATCCTCTCTCCCTACCAACTGACAATTTATGGAAAATTATGATGAAACTTGTAACACCAAAGAGAAAGGCTCGCAATTATTAATTTTTTTTTAAAAAGGAAGATTTGGCATTATAATAATAGAGATAGATAAATTAAGTTTATTTACTTTTATTCTGTTATACTTTGAAAATAAGAGTAGACATATTTTCATTGCACTACCTTCTACCATATTATATTTGTTTATTTTTTTTTTTTGTAAGTATCTTCTATCATGCTCAGTATTTTATTGCAAAGTTTTAACTAAAACTATCAAAAGTTATTCTATGAGCTCTAAAAAAAGGTTGTACTCCAATAATATTCTCTAGAGAGTCATAATTACTATGAATTAATAATTAGCCAATATGAATTAATTATTTATTTAAAATGATATTAAAACAGTTAACATTAATTATAGAGAGCGCGATAATTATAACGAGCCAGAATGAGCTTCTTTCTCCTTGTCTATATTTAGAAGCTGTTAGATGAATCTCTATATTAAGAGGTGGATAAGAAGCATGATTGGAGTTGATTTTTTTTTTAATCCACCCTAAATTCCAGTTAGGAGCTCATGGAGCTCATTAGAGATGCTCTAAGGGATGCTACCGAATTTATTAGATGGACAGGTTTGGGCATCTAAAATTTAGAAAATCCATTCTCCCATAGAAATCCTTTTTACTTTTAGTTTCTTTAGGTTGTGAATCATGTAATGTAAAATTTTTTTCTTCTCAAAATATAATTAATTTATGAAGTGTCAATCGCATTATTTTTTGTTTATTGATTGTCTCTAACTTCTAATTCTTATGCTCCAACGTCTATATTTATCTAGAATTTGAATGGAGGTTTGGAATTATTTTTTGTACCTCTATCTTTTTATCAATAATTATGTTTATGAGATTTGGAGACTTTCTTCAAAAAAGTAAAGACGTTTCTTAAACCAAATGATGATGTCATTTATACACGCGCCCGCGCGGGATTGAAAATTGTATGAAAACTTATGAAACTTCATTCTTTCAATAAACAATGTTTGAGTCATAAATTGAGGGTTACAAATGCCAAAGTAAGCTGCGACCCTTAATTAATAAAAATATAGTAGCTCTCGGTAGCTATTGTTACCCTTTTGCAGCTCTTGATATATTTTACAAAGTGGGTTGTATTAGTTCAAATTAGATGGCCACAACCCACAAAGATACAGTAGCTCTAGGCAGCTATTGTTACCCCTTTGCAGCAGCCTCCTTCTGTAGTACTCTCACTTTTTTTTTTCAAGCATTTCGAGCGTATGGCAAGCATTTATCAAAACTAATTTAGAGAGCAATTTAATTGTATCAACACAAAGAATACATATAAAGCACTATACAATGAAGAAACATTCCATGTTCCACCACCACCTCTCAAACTAAATTCTAAACTACGCACCAAACATTCCATGTTGTCAAATTTCCAACTATAGCAAAATCTATAGCCTTTGCATGTACACAAATCGGGTGAGCACATTGGAAGACTATATTTCAATTAAGTTATCTATATGGTGCAAAACAAAACAACTGTACATGTAACTTATGAACAACTGTACATGTAGCTTATGAACAACCGTATATGCAGCTTATCAAAATCCTTTAAAATTGCTAACTGCATAAGTACATGCATAATATTCAAGTGAAAAAAAAAGAGAAGAAAGATAAGCCCCAGTTTTCAAATAAGAGCAATGAAATAGGTTCATATGAAGCACACAGAGACTAAAAACGTGATTCTATGACCCACAAAATCATTTTTATATCAATTCACCAATCCTTGTTGTACTATAGTCAAAGAAGAGCAATTGATACTTGAAGATAACTGTCTTAGAATTAATAAATAATACTACAAATAATAGATTTTCTATGTATTAAACAACCACACTTGTGGAAGTAGAAAAATGAAAAGGAAAAAAAAACTGTGTAGAAGTTTTTTCACCAGTATCCTCTGAGATGCTCGCCATCAACAATCCCCATTCGGTATTGATTCCAACACCATTTACCTACAAATAGCCAAAAAGGTGAAGCAACTTGGTGGTACTGATCTGCACCACAAAATTGTACATTAACCACACATACAGTAGCAAGAATAAAGACGTTTCAACATTTGGTTTAATTCTTGGCATTAGATCAAATATGTCAGACTCAAACCATTGTGATTGGTGGAGAGGTTCAAATGCAATTTATTGTACACAACAGAAAGTATGCATCCATTAAATCACTGTAAAAAAGGTGTCTCAATGTTAAAATTATCGAAGATAGAGGGTAAGCTTTTCACATATAAAGAAGACTTGTGGGACACCCATAACCAATAATTTTTTCCCCTAAAATGTCATCTGATAAACCTTTTATCCAATTCAAAAAAAAAAAAAAAAAAAAAAAGATACTAAACAGAAACAACCATCTAATCTGGCACTGAAAAATTTTAAACTCATAAATGGAAACTTGGCATCAAGTCCCAAACTAAGTGAGATAATGTACAAACAGAAAGACACCTCACTGACATTAACTGGTTTTTGTTTATTGATCAATATAAACTGAATTTTCCAGTAAAAAAATTTGATTGAGAAAATGACCAAAAATGGAATAATTAGGTAACAATACTTAAAACCTGATCAACATTCAAGAAAAAGGTGTGTGAGAGAGTGAGAAGGTCCAACCGTAATAGTGTGCATGAGATTCCCATAGTGCCTTTGTAATCGTATCACCCATAGGGCTACTGAAATGAAACCAACAAATGTGAAATTAAAATATGAACTTGATGAATTGAATAGATATATATATACAATCTGATATTTCTGGTCAATTGTAAAATGAAAACAATTGTAATCTACAAACTTAAGGGTGCAATTGTAAAACCAAAACAATTGTATGCCATTAGAAGGTGCAACCAAAGCATATGATCTCATTAAGCTCGAATTTACGTAACAATACGCGGATTGGATCACAATCAAAATTCAAAACCCATTAATAAAAATCTAATCTTTTACTTCCAACACAATTATAAATTAAGATTAAAACATTATTACCTGCTAAGAAATCCCAATAATCAGATCCTTCTTGTCACTTGGAAGAGTCGATTGGAGCCATTCGGGATCACGTTCTCATTGGTATGCAGGCATATAAAAAAAAATATTACAAACTACAGAGAAAAAAATGGTAAGAATGAAGAAAGAGGAGCGTGCGTACAGAGAAGAAGAGTCCTCATCTAAAATCCAACCATAAGTATCCATAGCAAGAAGATTTCAAGGAGTTGACTATCATTGATGAATTGATAGTGTGTATGGTACTTGGGAATAGTTATTGATTGCGAAAGTATTGTACATAGATGAATGGTAAATCAAAACATACTGAAAATACCAGAAGCTACAACTGTGTTGACTATCATTATCTGTTTAACACAATTTGTTTTGAATAAGGATGTTGGATATATATGCAATCACAAATATTTAATCCAATATATAGATCTCTATATACTAAAGTGAAATGCTTGAAGAACCTAAAAAGAAGATAATACATAAATTTATACTAAATTGTAATATATAGATCTCTATATACTAAAGTGAACTTATTGGACATGTCCAGAAATAAATCTAAGCAAAAACTGAAAAATGAAAACCAAATGGTTATCAAACGCTCCCCAAAGGAATTACACATTTTGGATTCATTAAATGGAGTCTTTCAAGACCTCCAACCAAGTGAAACTGGTATACAAATCCAATGCATATATAGGTATTGTCGATCACTGAAAACCATATGCTTAACAATCATTTTAAGGACCATAATAACAGTCATTTTATCAAACAGTTAGTAGGCATATTTGTCAAACGGAGCCATCAAACATGCTAACTTCGACCTTCAGCTGGTTCCATTCACGTATACTATAAGATGGAAAATTATACCATTCCCTGGGACGATTACAACCAGAGCTGATTTATAGTTGCATATGCTTCCTTGTAGACCATGCCTGCAGCTGGTTCCTTGATTAGGTGGTTGACAATGCGCTCGAGTAATGGAGCGCCAGAGAAGAACAGATAAAAACTGGAAGGAGGAGATTTTGGTGGTGCCAGACTCTGCATTGGCCTTTGCTTTGAGTTTGGCTAGGGATTCCGCGGAGAAGTGAAACATTCCCTTCCTAGGGGGGGGGGGGGCTTCAAATCTGCCAATGAACTCATCTGAGTGTTTGAAAGGGAGGCTGATAATTGGACCATGACCATCTGGAAACCACCGTTTCTTGAAAATAAAAAGAGAACCAAATGATAAAACAATAAATTTCAATTCATTTACAAATCCCAAACTACAAAAGCACCAAATTTAAACAAAAGAAAACCACCCGTTTCACATGTCTGAAGAACTCACCAAGAAACCCTAGAAATTCCTTCAAAGCAAATCCAAAAACTGAACATGAGTACCTGAATTGAATAAAAATTAAAATACAATCAACTGTTAACCATTTTTTTTCTCAATAAAAAATAAAAAAATAAAAACCTTCAAATCACCCAAACGATCCCAAATTCTCAAATCCGTTCAAAGAAACTTACCATGAAATCACAGCATCTTCACAAATCATCTTCATATCTGCACCAAAAATAACGAAAAAGAAGAGCAATCAGCCCAAGAAACAAAAGATCAGTAGAAACAAACCAAGAAAATCAAGTATCGGAGAAAATTTTCCATCAGCATTTCTCCTTTTTATCAGAGGACTCGAGCTGGGCTCTGAGAGAGAAGTCGAGATGTTTCGTAGTTTCTCCGAAATAGAGCTTGTGGTTTGATGCGAGAGAAAGCTCGTTGTTTCTGGAAGCAAATCGAAAAAGATCGGCTTTTCCGTCCTTCTACTTCTTCAAGAGTACGAACACGTGTACGTCTACCAACACGTGTAAATCAGGAGTAGCGCCGGAAAGAGGCACCAACTGAAATTTTGACAGAAATGAAATAATATATAATAAAACAAAGGACTATGGAATGGTGCTTCAGCATCAGTACTCTGCGATAGAAAATAATATAAAAAAAATTTTAAAAAAAAAAGGAAAAAGCAGCTTTTGCTTTTGAAAGTTGATGTTTTTGATTGTTTATTAGAGAGATGCCGGTTGAATGATGGAGATATTACTATCCAAAGAAATCGAAACGGGAGAGAAACAACGCGTGGATCCAAAAAGACAGTGGCAGAAACGAAATAAACAAAACCAAGAAGGGAAAAAATTGGGAGAACACTGTTTGTGAACAGTAGCCCATCTCACATGATGAACAGTGAGGGGAACTGAACTTTAGTATATATAGATATGTTTTACGTTATCCAATGAAAAAAAAATTGAAGCGATCACCATATTTTTCCTGAAACTGGAGAAGTGATCGCCTTGTGCAAAAAAGAAAAATAAAAAAGCATAACAAAGGCCAAAATCATTAGCCCTAAAAAAAAAAAACAAAAGCATAAGAACAATTGAACAAAGATCAAAACCATTGGCCCTCAAAAATATTATAACACTACGTCACAATGAATTTGGAGCTAGTAAGTGACCCTTTTTTCCCCAAACGATAGAGGGTTCATAGTTTTTTTTTTTTTAATTAAAGTTTTAAATCATTAATCTAAACAACCCAGTCGAACGGAGCTCAACACAAATGTTAACTTTACCCTTGACCTCTGTATAAAATAGTTAGTTAGTTTACTTAGGACAATGACAAATCCCATTAGTTATATTACAATAATTTGAACATTTTATGCAAGTGTGGGAGGGTGGACAAAAGAATCTTGAATGCAAGAGTAAATGCTAGACACACAAAATCAAACATGTCACTTGATTGAATTTGTAGTATCTTAAATTTTTAAAGTGCTCAGAAAGTGTTATTATGAATTTAAAATGTCTTCAAATCTTACAATTTATGGTTCTAATTGGGCGATAAGTTTACTTGAGGTCAGCGATTATTTTGAGGTGATAAGATGATAATGGGTGAGTTCACGAGTTTGTATTATTTTTCAGGTTAATTTTGGAGTTCCAATGCATTTTAAGTGAATTTAGAAGAGATGGGACGGTTTAAAGTGGTGCCACGAGTCAAGCAACAATTGCACCTCCACAAGGATGCGGTTCGTCGGCATAAGCGTGGGATAAATCCCCGCCTTCTTTCTTCTTCGTTGAACGGCACGAAGAACAAGGGTAAAAAATAAAAAATAAAAAATAAAAAAAATCCTTCAATCTTCCGAAACTCATAAGTTTCAATTCGAGAATATGATACGATTGACGAACAGTTTTTGCCTACATGCTCAATGAATCATACCCGTTGTTCTTAGGTAAATTTTGAAGATTATTATTTAGGTTTGAACAATTCATTCAGGTTGAGATTTTTAATTAATTCGGGTCAATTTTATACAAGAGAGTGTTGAAGAGTGACAGAATGATATCGATGAAAGAGTTCAAATCTTTTGCATCTATTTTTTTAGGGATAATTTGATTGCGGTCTTTAATCCTTAATATTATTTTATTAAAACCTTAATAGTATTCAAAGTTTGATCAATGTCCCTTGACTTTGTACACCTCATTATATTACTATTAATATTTATATTTTTATAGTTTTGACATTAATTGTTTGATATTTTATGAGATTTATAATCCTATAAATTTAAAATCCCTCATTATAATATTATTAGAAACGGTTATAATAAAAAAATTCAAACATTTTAATTGAATAAATGGATAAAAACTATGTAAAAATAAGAAATAATAAATGGCAAAAGAATGTATCCATAGTGTTAAAAAAATTGGTACATTTCACATATAACAAAGTGGTACATCAATAAAGAAGAATGGGTACATTATAAATAAATTAGGGTACAAATAAAAAATTAAAAATTATGAGTACAAATGAATTTTTAAAAATATAGATGCTAAAAGAAATTAATAAATGGGTACAAAATAAAACTAAAAAAAAAATACTACAAATTTAAAAAAAAATGTTGCAAATTAAAAGTGGGTACAAACTAAAAATATAAATTTATGATACAAAGTTTAGGCATAAAACATAAATATACCATATGTAATTTTTCTATCATTGATTAAATATACAATGTCACGTAATGGTATACACATGAGTACAAACACAAATAAAACTTTAAAAAATATGGGCACAAAAAGAAACTAATATATGGGTACAAATTAAAAATGAAAAGAAAATTGATACAAATTAAAAAATATTTGCAAATTAAAAATTGGTAACTAAAAATAAAAATATATGATAAAAAATTTAACCATAAATATAAATATACTAATTGTAACATTTTTAACAATAAAGGAATATATTTAAAAATAAAAATATTTTATTATTCAAATAATTAATGATGTTATTAATACCCAAGGACCTTGATCAAAAATTGAAAATAAATAGGATTTTAATCAATGGAGTAACAAAAAGAATGATGTAAACCTAATTTTCCCATTTTTTAATGTGGTTTTTCTATGGCTTCTAGCTTGGATTGATACGTGTCTACAAACTTAATTCTCCTTAATTTTGTTTGTCATTAACTTAACACGTGTTAATTAATGATAAAGACCGTATACAAAATGTGTGCAGTAGGTTTGTTGATTTTGATATCAATCTTATTTGAATCTGATGTAATTAGTAGAATATGAATTAATTGGCAGGAAAACTAATGAAAATAGCTTAAAAACTTTGAGTTTTAATGATAAGGACAAAATAAAGGGTAAAGTGAATAGTACCAGGATTGACTTTTTAGTGTAAAAATGTGATTTTTCATTAAAGTAAACAGTACCGATAGCTTTTCGTTTAAGTTCCCTTAATTGGCGTGCTGTATTCGATAATCGATAAATCTTTCTTTTCATACTTTTTTTTGTCAATATTGTATGTATTTAAAGATAATGAGTTCTCCACTATCGTTTCTCCAAAAAAAAAATAATAATAATGAGTTTTTCATGTTATGAATACTAATACGATTTATTTATTATTGAAAAAACTATAAAAGGTAGATAAAACACAATATAAGAATAAGATTTATATATATATATATATATATATATATATATATATTCGATTATAATGGATATGATCCATCCCTATCATATATGAATTTAGAAGTTAAATCTAATAATATGAACTATCTCTGAATATGATAACTCAATTGATAAACGAATCGAATATGAATTCGAGTAAACCCATCCATATACGATCCGATTACATGTAGGCACAAAACTAATATAATAATGTTATTTAAAATTGCCACATCAGCTGACATACTTTTAAATAGAGATGCAACATATCATTGTGTGTGAAATTCCTGTGTTTTAGAGTGTATTGGCAATGTCAATCTTATGCACTGTTCTAAAACTCTCCCCCAATTCGTTCTATTATGGGACAGGTAGGGTTTTACACTAAGCAAGTAAACTACCTTTATCTAGCTGAGTTATCTACCATGTGAGACATAGAAGGATTATCTCATTAACTCATTCAATCTAGAAGAAGTTTAGACAGAACGATTAGGCTATTTCAGTAGTTTTAATCTAGTGCCGCTTAAGCTACGCCTAGGTACTAGGTGACTAATTACCACCTCAATTAATCCCTAGGTGTTTGAAAATTAAGAATGGACGCCTAGACCTGCTTAGGCACCCGCTTAATCCATTTAGGCACCCATCTAGACCCGCATAGACACCCACTTAGGTCGCAACTCTTACTTAGACAAAAAATAAATTACTTTTATTTGAATATATTATAAGATACTTGTTGAATACTTGGATGAACACTCATTATGTTCTAGTTCCATGTTTTCAATATGTTCTAATAGTTTCTAAGCTTTATGTCTATTTATTTTTCAATTTATGTATCTCGATATTATTATATATTTTTAAGTATAAATAAGCATTTATGTATATGATATTATAATAAGTTTACTTAAATTCGCCTAATCCACCTAGGTTCAGCCTAGGCGCTAGGCCCTAGTCTGTTGCCCGACTAGCGCCTAGCATCTTTTAGAACCTTGTTCTTATGTGTCTAAATAACATTGTTTATTTTGAAAAATGAATAAATGAATTGATTATATTACACCTAGTTGGTTCATGTGAAAACGTGAAGGTAAAAGATTTCCACATCAATGCAATGAGAGATCTTGCAATGACTTATATTGCCATTTAGTGGTATAGTAGAACCTCAACTTTCTTTTTGGTATTAGAAAATCACCGTCCTGAAGGACGACAAGAACTATGAACTGTATTTTATCTTCATATTCTCACAATTCATAAGATGCTAAGTGATTATGTTTTCGCATTTTAAAAAAGAATATTAAACATATTAAATTGTCATGTATTTTGTTCCTGCTTGTTTTCCTTTACCCCAGCTTCCGTTCTTCTCCTTGCTGCCACCACCGATTCTAGCTATGGCTAGGGTTGGTGGTAGCCCATTGCTCCTCTTGTTTTCCTTTTCTTTCCTTTTGTTCCTACTTATTTTTTCCTGTACCTTTTTGTAGGTTCGACCATATCCTCATCTCTCTAGTGCCTTTGGTTTCACTTCACCAACTCCCCCTTTTTTCATTTACTTTTCCCTCCACATCCTTAATTTCCAACACTCCACATCCTACCCTTTCCAATTGGCTCACTCCTCCATTAATGTCACACTCTAGATCGAGTTCCACTAATCAACACCGTGAACGCGAATCTTTGCGATTCCCGTTTAAGAGGAAGATGTGTAAAGCTTCGGATTTTATTGATGCTCAGGTGTTTTCACCACCTTTTTGCCTCTACTTGGCCTTGTTGCCTCTGTTGCTTGTGGGTTGTTTCCTGCGAGCTTCATTCGATTCTTGATGCCGATTTTCTCTGTGCTCTTTGGAGGTTGTTGAAGTCTTCTTCTTATCCACTTTGGGGGCTTGATTTCAGGCCGCTGGTTTGAGTTTGGTGGTCCTTCTGATGGCAGCAGCGGCAGAGGATGCAAGCTGTTAGGGTTTTTTCTGTTTTTCTGTTGGGCTTGGTTTCGTTGTACTTTGGAGGTCCATAATTTTGTTGTTGTGTTTGTATTGCCTCTCTCTTATAAATGTGTGTTGTTGGTAATGTTATTACCTTTTTACCAAAAAAAAAGTAATAATAAAGACAATACTGCAGTTTATTACTCATTATTTCATTAAGGAATTAAACCATATAGTAGGACGTGACATGAAACATTTTTTTGTGGGGTTGGTATTCTCTTGTCTATTTGCACAACTTGGTAAGACGAATAATCAACTCGGAATCAACCACAACTATATAGCCAAGTGTGTCACTGGCATTAGCTAGGACAAGAGCCTGGGGATTGACTTGGATATTCTGTAGCTAGAAAGGGTCAAGGAACATACATGGATATCTCTATGGGAGTGGGGGTGACCTTGGTTTTGGGAGGCTTGCCGCTATTGGGGTTGCTCTTGTGGTGGTGGAATGAGCTTTGGTACGTGCTTCCTCTCAAACTTCAACATTCGACTACTGGTGCTAAGTTGCCGCCTGGCCACATGGGACTTCCACTTGTGGGTGAATTACTCACATTCTTGTGGTACTTCAAGGTTCTTCGTCTTCCAGATGATTTTATCAATGCTAAACGAGCAAAGTATGTTTATTTCCTTCAGTTTTTTAGTACAGCTACTACCGTTTTGTTTGGGGGAAGTGTATTAATTCATTTACTCTTAGTTTTAAAATTTGTAATCTTATAGTTTTTGTTGACAAGTGTTTATCATATTCAAGTACCAATTGGATTACACATCTTCATTTAGAGGCACACTTTGTGGAACAAGTCTCTTCTATTTAAATTGACATTCAAATATATAGAACATATAATATCAAAGATTGAAACAAAATAAGAATTATAACCTTTAAAAGAGGTACTAAAAAATCGAGTTCGAAGCAGTGTTGACCGGTGGTTAATTAGGATAAATTGATCTAAAAGTTGGTAAAAAACAGAAATGGTCATAAATAACTTGTTTTGAGAATTAGTGTTTCTGAAGTAGAATTCACAATTTCATCTTCGACCATGGATTTTAGTAACTATTCGGTGTTAAATTATTTCTTGTTTTGTGGTAAAAGTCTTCTATGAAATTGGTATATATCAATATCGTACAAAATGGTTGACAATCTTTGTCATGCACATATTAAATGATCAGGTATGGTGATGGAATAGGATTGTACAGAACCTACCTCTTTGGATCACCGTCCATCATAGCATGTTTCCCAACAGTCAACAAGTTTGTATTCCAATCAGACGACACCTTCATCCTAGAATGGCCTAGCGTTGATCTTATGGGTTACACTTCTCTGGTGGCAGTTCATGGGAAGTCCCATGCAAGGCTCAGAGGTTACGTCACAAATGTTATTAACCAGCCGGACGCTCTTCGGCGGATTGCCCAGGTAGTCCAACCACGCATCACAGCTGCACTCGAGTCATGGGCTCAGAAGGGCAGAGTCAAAGCTTATGACGAAACTAAGAAGGTGACGTTTGAAAATATTGGAAAACTATTTGTAAGTTTGGAGCCTGGACCTCTCCTGGATACCATTGATAACTTGTTTGGAGGATTGATCAAAGGAGTTAGAGCTCAACCATTGAACATTCCTGGAACTGCCTTTCACCATGCTCGTCAGGTCCGTAAAACTCATTTCACCGCAAAGTCAATTTAAAGCTTTTAAATTCCAACACTACAAGAAAAAATAAAGCATCAGTGGCCATATATATAGGTCATATATATGATGTGCCTATAAGCACCATACGTCATCCTGTTGCATGGACTATATGTGTCCGTTGAGTAAGTAGGCACAGATGGTTTCTTACAGACACATCATCCCGTTCCATACATATATATGGTCATTGATACTTTTTTCTTGAACTTGCATGCATGTGGTATGATTGATTCCATCAAGTTTCATTAATAAATTTGTATATATGCATGTGGATGAATTTCTGCAGTGTAGGAAGAAGCTTGAGGCCATTTTCAGTCTGGAGCTGGAGAAGAAGAAGAGCCAAAAACTAGTGACAAATGATCTCATGGATGGGCTTATGCAAATTAAAGATGAGGAAGGTAATAAACTAAGTGACCAAGAGGTGGTAGATAACATCGTTAGCCTTGTTGTAGGTGGATATGCATCTACTTCCATTGCGTCAATGTGGGCTATATATTATTTAGCCAAGCACCTTACTGTCCTTAAAAAGCTTCAGGTATGAACAACCCGTATTCTGGTTGATAACATGCTAATAATAATCAAAACAAAGAAAGTAAGGCCATCTCCAACCGAAGGGGCTACGTTTAGCCCCTGTTCAGATTATATAGCCATGTAAAAAATTATATTTTTAATGAATAGTGTCAAACTATAACTATATACAATCTCTAACCGAAGGGGTCTATTTTTTAGTCCCCTCATTAATTTATATTTTAAGATTGTTCTTTAATTTTATCGGTTAATTGAATTAAACTACTATATTAAATTGAGGTTTTCAGACATATTTTGAGGGTCACTTGTCACTAAATATTGTTTTAAGTTTCATGTTATTAAATATTTTAATTTTACTTGCATGTTAACAACTTAAACATTAAAATGAGGTAGTATAGTATAAAAGGGTGAACATAATGTGAGAAATGGTGTAGAAATGGCTTAGGTATTTATAGGAAAAAAATTAGAATTTTAATTTTTTTTTAATTTCATCTTTAAAAATAAAAATAAAAATAAATAAAAGGCTACATGATGTCAGCTAGCAGCACAGTTGGGCCCAACTATCAGGGCTGACTAGCTGGCTATGTTTGCCCAGCCCTCTGCCCATTTGGCTATATTTTGGCTTGGTGGGTCCCAAATTTTTTTGGCTCAGCCCTTCATTAGAGATGGGTTTTCTGTTAAAACAGGCTATGTTTTAGCCTATAGCCATTTGGCCGGCTTGGTTGGAGATGACCTAAGTTTCTTTAATAATCAATGGCTTCTTCAATAATCAATGGCTTGTTCGGTATTTTCTTAGATTTAATTTTCCGGTTTGAAATTAATGGGTAATTAAGTAATTATTTTTCTATTTATCATTTTTTTTAAATAAAAAGAATACGAAACAAACTCTTAAGTTATTTTGATAACTTGACGTTCTAATTTGGATTAACATATAGGAGGAGAATATGGCTATAAAGAAGAACAAGAAGGGGGATTTTATTACAAATGAAGATGTTTCAAAACTGAAATACACAAAGAAGGTATATACTGTCCATAATGAAGAAAGTTTAGGTTTCATCATAAAATCAAATGACAATACGGGGAATAGTCTAGCCTCTTATAAGTCCTTGCAAAGTTTCTCTTTTCACCAATGTGAAACTCTTTTACCTCACATCCTCACACGCCCCCTTATGTGTGACAAATTTCCAAGCCAAACATGTGGACAACACGAGCTGGGTGACATGGACCACATGTGATCGTATGTTGGGTGTTACACGTGGGCCAACTTGCTCTGATACCATGAAGGAAGTTGAGATTCCACCACAAAACCAATTAACAGTATGAAAAGTAGCCCAACCTCTTATAAACCCTTGCAAAGTTTCTCATTCACCGATGTGAAACTTTCATCTTCACATCCTTACACATAAATTTACCAACTTATGTGTAAACATTTCCCGGAAGAAAAAGAATTCGTATTACAAAATTAACTCAAGCCAAACATTTTGCACTTTGCATTCAGGTGGTCGAAGAAACAATAAGAATCGCCAACATTGCAGCTTTTATTTTCCTAACGGCTGTCAAGGAAGCTGAGTATAAAGGTACGTATAGGATACATCACACATACACCATAAATATATGTTGGCATGCTGCTGCAAATTTAGGGTTTAGGAGTTCAAATCAAATGCGTGGTTGGTGTACTTGAACTGTTTCCAATATTGGATGTGTCGTTTTGCAGTCCGTTAATTGCACCGTGTAATTGTAGCTAATCAAGTTAGTAAATCCATGCAGGATATAAAATACCCAAGGGTTGGAAAGTGATTCTTTGGCTTCGATACCTCCACACAAATCCAGAGAATTTTGATGATCCTATGTGCTTTAATCCAGACAGATGGAATGTAAGCCTTTATTTCTACATGACATAATGAATAGGTCCATTTGGATATATGCTTCTTTAAAATTAGGGAACTTTAACGAAAAATTCTCACTATTGTTCACTTTAACGAAAAACCATATTTTTACATTAAAAAGTCAATCCTGGTACTATTCACTTTATCCTTTATTTTGTCATTATCGTTAAAACTCAAAGTTTTCATACCTTTTTCATTAGTTTTCCTTTAAAATTCTACTTTCACTTCTATTAAAAGCACATACGAAAATTTCAATCAAACTGCAAGTTTTTTTTGAAAAACTTCTTCAATAAATGCTTCAAAAGCTTATTTAAATACTTTTAACTTTTTATGTCAAATGTTGATAGAAACATTTTTGGTGATCTAAAATCGTTTTTAACTATTTATAAGTACTTCCAAATAGACACCCTTTAGTTAAAATAACTATTTATCTATTGAATGAATATATTTTCACTGCTCAAGAACCAGCTAAGCCCGGAACGTACGAAGTTTTTGGTGGTGGATCAAGAATATGTGCAGGAAACATGCTTGTTAGAATACAACTTGCAATCTTGTTACATCATTTGTCAACAGGATACAAGTAAGGAGGAAACCCTCTCAACTATTATCATTATTAAATATATTACCAGTATGCATTTTCTAATGAACTTTATGTACTTAAATTTTCAGATGGGAATTGATCAATCCAGATGCAGAGATGATTTATCTGCCACATCCAAAACCAATTGATGGGGTTGATATCACCATTAACAAAATTTAGAAATCCTCGATAGGCTTCATATATAGTTTGTCCTCCCTCATTTTTCCCATGACAATGTCTTAACTAGGTGGACACCTTTGAACCCTATGAAAAATTAAGCAAAAGAAAAATGAAATCTCTATTAGTTCTTCTAATAAAAACAAATCCTGGCTTCTTAGTTTAAGAACTGTCTACACCCTAAATGATATTTGGATGTAGTTTTGTGATTTAATTCCTTCAAGAATCTGATAAGATGGTTGGAACTATTGGTTTGTTCTCTTCTTAAATATTGTTGATCTTTGAATTCTATCATGCAACAAAAAGTAGATTAATTATAGGGAAAGTAGATTGATTATAATTGTTGGAACTTTTGGTTTGTTCTTTTCTACCACATTAGCATCCATTTCATGATAAATGGGGTTATTTTTATGAACTTAGATTTAATTACACTAACATCTCTTGAAGTTTATTGTGTTTTCATAAAATTCTCACATTTGAAACATTAAACTAAAACTCATGAGGTTTTAATTCACTTTCACGTAACCCCTTTATTAGGACTGACATCATCTTAAAATATTTTTTTGAAGACAAATTTGCCCTCATTATTAATTACTTTAAAAAAAATAAAAAAAAAAGCCTTTTAAAAATAAATATAATAATAACCAATTTAAGAAAATACATTTTAAAAATAATTATTAATTACTGAAGAACTCTTTGACCGCCCTTGGCACATTGTGAAGACGGAGAGGATCCCATCGTACAATCTACGATTGATCGTGATGACACTAGTGGCGTGTACGACGGACACTCATGCCGGGTGGAAGTGCTAGAGGAATTGGACTTATGGTGGTGGTGATCCACATAAGGCAGTGAGGGAGACGATTTTGGAGTGGAATGTAGAGATGAACTCTTAATTTCATGGTGAATTTTAATAGGTGATTAGTCTTTAAAAAAAAAAAAGGAAGATAAAGTGAATATCTTGGCTAGCCAATTTACGTTAATAATCACGATGCTCTCTTAAAAATCTCATGAGAGAGAAAGAGTGTGTGTGTTTTGGTGGTTGCAAAATTTGGGGGATGGTTGCTAGGAAAAAAATATTAGGAGGAGGATAAGAAGATGCACGACAAGGAGATGCCTATGTGTTTTTTTTTCTTCTCGTTTTTCTCTTTATTCAAAAAGGTTTTTGTCTATACATATACTTGATTCTCTTACCATCTTGAAGGGATTTTTTGGAGCCAAACTCAATGCTTTGTTTTCGAAATATTACTAAAGAGTTGGTTTAGTATGTTTAATTATCTTTTTTCCCCTATGTTTAATTATCTTAAACTCTGATTTTTTTTGTAAGTTGTGAACTTCATTTTAATGTAAAGAAATTATCTAAATTTCGATACCTTTTTATCTCTTTGATTTATCAAAATGATTTTCGCTTTCGTACTGCTTAAAACTAAATTATTTTAGTCCCCTTAGTAGCCTTACGTTTTATTGAGAATGTAGTGCTATAGTGTTGGGTTGTAACACTATAATATTGCGTCACTAATAGGGCGTGACACTGCTATGTGCTCATTTTTGGGACGTGACATAACTTTGATGTAAATCTTATTTGAATTTGATGTAATTTGTAGGATAGGAATTGACATTTTCTATTCGATAATCGATAAAAATTCAAATCTACTAATCTGTTAACTTAACAAATTGAACATGAATTTGAGTTGATAAAATTGGATAGTATCTAGCATAACATAATATAAATCTTTCTTTTCATACTTCTTTTGGTCAATACTGTACGTATTTAAGAGGATTTTTATTTTTTATTTTTTATTTTTTATCAATAATGAAGGATTGCATTTCATAAGAGAGCAAATTATACAATTTGAATGAAGAGACAAGGAAGCAAACAACAATGGCAAACAAGCACTCATACACCTCTAACTGGGATGGTCGTTCTCCAACAGAGAGATGAACCACCACCAGGAAAAGCTTGCCGCCTACTATTCTTGGGAATCATACATTCCTGTCATCCACATCGTCTACCAAAATCGACTCTAGCTGGAGGAGCCTCTTCAATCCAAGTCCTGAGTTCATCCAAAATGCCATCCACCGCAGTCTTGGCGTCCATCTCTAGAAGTATATAGTTAAAACCCAACTCATAAGAAAATCGAAGTCCATCCCTAGCAGCAATCAATTCAACCGCACGAGGAGAAAGGAAGCTCTGCGTTTGATTTGTTAAAGCAGCCATTACCAACCCCTGATCATCCCGAATGATCACCCCAATACCTCGGACTCCCCCCCCCCCTCCCGTTGCACAGAACCATCCACGTTAACTTTCACCACTCTTAACGTCTGTGGCTGCCAGGAAACATGAGTTGTAGCCCTATTGTTGTCGTTGCAATCCGATCCATACACCAGACGAAACTCTTCCAACAATTGCCTTGCACGTGCAGCAACCTCCCAAGAATGACATTGATTGTTTTAAAAAACGTTTCCATTTCTTTGATTGCAAATTTCCCAACAAACCGCTGCAAACAAATCGAGTTCCTCCCTCGTGACCAACACCATGGCTTTCCAAATCTTGAAGAACGACTGAACCTTCCATTCCCTGCTCGCCTCCCACCAACTAAATTCCTTCCAAATCTCCATCACCTCCCCACAACCCCATAACGCACGAAGAGTCTTCTCCACTTTCTCTTCGCATCGTCCACACCACGGTGAAGGATTAATCTTTTTTGGGAAATACTGCCACAATGGATAATTTCCTTCAAACATCTCCAGACAAAATGCTTAACTTTGTCAGGTATAGACACAGCCCATACACATTTCCATAGAGAACCACCAGTCGTACTCGATGAGCCTTCCATTCCACTTGATAGACTTCTGATCATTCGGGCCAATCGATATCCACTACGCACCCTATACTTCCCATTCATCTCATAAATCCAAATTTGGATATCTTGCACCTCACCGTGAGTCAACGCAATACGCAATATAGCTTCCACATCCCTTTCCCAAAAACCGGCATGAAGCATCTCCCTATAATTATTCCATTCTCTATCAGTAGTAATAAGATCACAAACTCTCAAACTCAAACATAGGCAGCAGTAATAAGATCACAAACTCTCAAACTCAAACATAGGTGGCGTAGTGACTGTGAACCCCATTTCATTAGGCACCCATTTATCATCATATACCAACACATGCATCATGTCATTATCTATGCGCCATTGCAATCCAGCTTTCAGAAGCTCTTTCCCCCACACCACTGATCACCAAGCGTACGTATGATGGCCTTGTTCCAATTCCCGCATTCAAAAAAGAATCATTCGGAAAGTATCTCGCTGACAGCATGCGACTCACCAAGGATGTCGGATTAATGAACAGTATCCAACATTGTTTTGCTAATAAACTCTGATTGAAACTTTCCAACTCTCGAAATCCCAACCCACCATCCGCTTTGCTCGTACATAACGGCTCCCATTTCATCCAATGAATCCCACGCCCATTTCGCTTTTTTCCCACCAAAATTTCGCTGAACGAGCGTGGATTTCCTTTGCAACATCCTTTGGCATCCGAAAGCAGTTCATAGAATAAGTGGGTAACACTTGAAGTATCGCCTTGATCAATACCTCTTTTCCTGCACGCGAAAGGCGTTTTTCCTTCCAACCACCTATCCATTTCAAGATTCGATCCTTTGTAGCTCTGAACACTTGCTTCCTTCCCCTACCAACCGCTGTCGGCAATCCCAAATACCGTTCATGACAGGTTACCCATAGAATTTCCTGCCTTGCCGCAACCATTGCCTTAACATCCTCTCCAGAATTCGGACCAAGAGTGAATGCCGAATTATTGCTTCAAGGCATATATATTCATTAGGCTATTTTTCAAACTTTATTCGCCTCCACAACAGTGTTCAAATGAGATTTGAATAAGCTTTGTAGATACTACGAATTCTAGTCTTACACTTCTTGTTTGTCAAAGCTTTGCACATTGTAAGATAAATCCCAAACTAGCTTTATTATTGCTTTTTTTTTTTTTAAGCTACTTATGTTGTGCTGTGAAAATAAACAGTTATGAAAGAAAACAAGTGTTTGGTAAAGTATAGTGCTAAAAATGCTCTTAACAAAAAAAGACGAGGGTAGGATTGTCAATATGAAAGTTTTGTTAATTGGTACTGTTCACCTGCCTAAAAAAAAGTGCTTTTTAAGAAGCATGTGTAGAATTACTTCTGCTTTCTGCTGTATCGGATTCATAATTTTAAAGAAAAAAAAAACTTTTTTATTTCATTTACCTAACACAATTAAGGCCCTAACATTTTTAAGAAGTTGCTTTTAAAAATAAAAAAAATATATTTAAGCAAATCCCCGGCTCATAGAAATCTATACCTTTAAAAGAGGTACGAAAAAATCGAGTTCAAAGAAGTGTTGATAGGTGATGAATAAGGAGGATAAATAATCTAAAATTTAGTCCCTCAAAAAACAGTCATAAATAACTTGCTTATTAAGATTTAGTGTGAATCCACATTTACATCTCCATGGACTATGAATGTTAGTAACTATTCGGCGTTTAATGAATTCTTGTTTTGTGGTAAAAGTCGTCTATGAAATTGGTATATGTCTCAATATCGTGCAAAATGGTTGACACCCTTTGTCATGCACATATTAAATGATCAGGTATGGTGATGGAGTAGGATTGTACAGAACCTACCTCTTTGGATCACCGTCCATCATAGCATCTTTCCCAACACTTAACAAATTTGTATTCCAATCAGACACACCTTCATCCTAGAATGGCCTTACGTTGATCTTATGGGTCACACTTCTCTGGTGGCAGTTCATGGGAAGTCCCATGCCAGGCTCAGAGGTTACGTCACAAAGGCTATTAATCAGCCGGACGCTCTCCGGCGGATTGCCCATCTAGTCCAACCACGCATCATAGCTACACTCGATTCATGGGCTCAGAAGGGCAAAATTTAAAGCTTTTGACGAAACTAAGGCCTGATTTGGTACTGAGGTGATTCTGAGAAAAGTGGGTATCAA